CAAGGTTCATGAGAGACCACAAGGGAACATCAACTGACACAATAAACAAAGGGGAAACAAATTTACAAAGTGCACCTCTTCTACTACTCCTGAGTAATATCAATGAAAGTGTACTGCAGGCAAAATTAAGGCTTCCTGATGTCCATGCAGTACTTTCAGCTAAAAAAAAATTCCTCATAGAGAATTCTTTAGGGGTATATAGGCAAAAGCGAAGACCCATTTTTGAAAACTTAGCAGTGGAAAATGCTAAATAGCTATTTCAGTTAATAAATATGTCTCTCAGTAGAGTACAAAGGAAGTAGGCTTGTACATCACAGAAATTCCATTTTAATAGAACTAGGTTTTAAGACAAACTGCCTATGTTCTCATCTGCATTTTCAAATTCCAGTAAGGGGTACAGGAGCTCAGTTCCTTCTTCCCTGGTGAGATGCTAAGATTATGCAAAGGATGCCAACTTCTGATTAGCCCGTTATCCCCCGTTATGGTTTCCAGTGTTAAGGACTGCAATTCCACTGTGAAAGGCTTTAAGGAAATCCAGGATGAAAAATGAGTGGCCAAGCTTTAGAGGGTTTCCAATTTGAGCGTAAAACAGGAGACAACATAGGCACCCATTCCTCAACAGTTCTCATCAGGGTTTCACCAGAGTTTTAGACCCATCATTATTGAGACACTGAATTTCTTTTAGACATTAAGACAAAGGCAGACTTTGCTGATGAACTGAGAAATGCAGAGGAGAGTCACTTTTTCCCAGGGAATGATATAAGGTAAGTAAGGTGGGAAGAAGTGAAAATAATTTATTTTAGGTGAAAATCAAAGCAAGAAGCTTGAAAAGACACACTATAATGGGTTGGGGGGGGGTGGGACAAAACCAAACTCATTTTAAATATACGTTCTCTAGGGGTTGATAAGTGCACCTATGGGTTTGTAGGTTAGGGGGTCTCTGTTTCTTTTTTCCTTCAAGTGTTCTAGAGTGTTATCAGATGAGAACATATTGTTCACTGCTCTGAGAACACATGTAATGGTAGTATGGTAATTAATTAGTTCTATGTCAAACAAAAAGAAAAGGTCTAATGACTCTTCAGCCACTACAATGTTTCTCAAAGCCCTTTGTGAAAGAAAGGAAAATGCTATTACTCTTTTACAGATAGGAAAACAAAGGGGAAGAGATTGAAGCAAGCTGCCCAAGATGACTCGAGGAGTTGAAAAAAATGCATCATATGTCTAGAACCTCATTTTAATGGCCACCCAATCTTCAACCAGTTATACAAAATACGACTGAGATGTATATGGCAAACAGACAGCACGGCAAAACATCAAGCCCTCTCAACAAAACCTTGCTGTTTTAATCAAAATTTTGCAAGTCCAGATTAAAAATCAGTGAAGGAAAATTAATTCAGAAGTTCATGATCTAGAAGAATTCAAACTTTATCCTCCACACATGTAGGCCAGGAGGTGGGTGTACTGAGCTTTTTTAATGAATTAAAATGGAAGAAAGTGGGAAGGAAATAAAAAGGAAATAAATGCTTTCATTAGGCCATGTAATACAGCTCCACACTTCTCCATTTGAGCTACTGACTGGGGAAGAAGGTGATAAAATGTATTAGTTCTTTGAGTTGAACCTCCCTCCACAACACCATCTAACACAACCTTCCTATGCGGAGGACATTTTTTCTGACTTGGCACCTCAAAAGCACCTTGAAGATGTGGAGTTTAAGACACAAAGCACCATTGGATCACTGGGATCTAAACATGTAACACTAACAACAACAGCTTGTCTTAAACACAAGCATGCACACCTATTTCAGGAAAGAACCTAATCCTGGAAACATAACAGGACTAAGATCTACCGCTTTCCTTGATGGTTTGTCCTATGTTCTCACTTTTAAAAACACCTGTCCAGCCTTGGTTTACTCTTACCCTTGTACACATTCTGCTTTTCTCTGCTACTGTGAAGAATCCTCTTATTCCCAGTCATCCCACAGGAATATGCTGTCATTAAGTTATGTCTCTCTCTGGAAGAATTTTTCTCCACTCTAGTCTCTCTTCTCTCTTTTGATATTTATTTATTATATTTATAAATTACCATGCCAAGACCCGGTGTTTTGGAACCTGGAAGTTTCCTTCCACAGTCTCACTGTTGCACATACCGATACAACCACCTCCTTACTCTTAATTTTTAGTGAGGCTTTTTACATTCAAGTTAAAAATACAAACCCCACTGAGCTGTCTGTTCTTTCCTCTGGAACATTCCTAGCATCACTTATGTCAGCTGTAGGGGTTCCTATCTGTATTATGTAAGGCTGCCATTGCTTCATTTGAGAAGTGTAATACTTCTCTTCTAGAGACAGTTTTGACATTTTTGTTTGAATGACCTCTGTTTAAAGGCTAGACTGTAACTGGATTGCACTATCTGATTACTCTGTCCTCCTCTTTTTTCCTACTGTTTCAATCATTGCATTATTTTCAGATTCTAAAATCCAAGAGTTTATGCTGCTTTCCAAAGGATTTGTGAAAATATTGAAATATGTTTTCTGCACCTAATTCTAAACTGTGGAAGGCTATGGAGTCTATTTAGAAGAGGATGCAGTTACAGGACAAGGGGGAATGGCTTCAAACTGTCAGAGGGCAAGTTTAGAATGGATATTAGGTAGAAATTCTTTACTGAGAGGGTGGTGAGGCCCTGGCACAGGTTTCCCAGAGAAGCTGTGGATGCCCCATCCCTGGGACTGTTCAAGGCCAGGCTGGATAGAGCTTTGGGCAACCTGGTCTGGTGGAAGGTGTCCCTGCCCATGGCAGGGGGTTTGTAACTATATAATCTCTAAGGTCCTTTCCAACCCAGGCCATTCTGTGATTCTGTCTTATGATTATATGATCCCTCAAAATTTCTGTGTAAGGGTCATTTCTCATTGACTAATGCTTTGAGATGTGGATCTTCAAGGAATATTATTTTGATAAAGTACACTGTTATTTATTTCATACCAGATGAAACACAAAATTAAATGAAATGCCTTACAAAAGCCTAAACAACCCCTAGGATCATTTGATGAGCAAATTCACACTCTGGAATGAAGTATACCTAGCATAATTGCTTGTCTTTAAAACTATGTTGACAGTCATTAATTTCTTACTACTACTAATTTGGTCTGATGGTTGCTTTTTAAGTTAAATTCTCCTTAGTCTTTCCAGTATTTTTTCCAGGCCTGAAATAGAACTAGCCTTCTCTGCAGCATTATTTGCAAAAAAAAAAAAAAAAAAAAAAGTGAAAATAATAGCACGACACTCACATTCCAGAATTTTAAAAATTCTCCAGCAGATCTTTTCAGCCTCCTTTTTTAAGGCTCTTAAGTGAAAGTTACCAAGTAATGAGCTTTCTGCTTTACTTATTTTATCACTGGCAGATGTTGTTTAACATGCTTTGAAAGATTCAGTGCTGTTTGTACAGTAGGGACACTGGATCTCCTACCACCATATGGGCTTGCTAGGGAGCAAACAGCACTTCCCTCCTACTGTGTGCCACTCAGTATTGAAGAGGTATCAGAGCTTTTGTTCATCTTTGCACAAATAAATGACACAATCAATTAAACAGTGATTGACTGGCATAATTTCTTGGTTTTGGCATTACAAAGAAGCAGCACAAATTAGTTAATTCATATACAAAATAAGCCAAGCAATAAGCTTTGTTAAACTTTTCTCAAAATCTTAGGGGTTAGAAATCGACTATCCAGATACATACAGTAAGAGTTCTTGTCTGTCCATTATGCTTGCCACTGAATTCATCCTAGGTTGCCACCTTAATCATTACATGTTTTTGGCTTTTGCATTAAGGAAAATTACCTAGACATCCTAAGCCACTATAAATTGATGTCCAGCTGGCAGAGAGCTGTGCAAGATCACTCCGAATCCTCATCTGTGCTATTTATCCCAGAGTCTTGTTAACCCTGGATAACAAAGGATAGCAATTTGGACATCAACAACATATCACTTTAGACTACTTTTATCAGAAATATCCCATTAGTGTGCATTATCTTCATATCTCAATCTGCCTTCTTTTCCTCCTGAGACTTCAAAGAACCCAGCTGGCAAACAGCCAGAATATCAAGTTTCTCACACATCTATTATCATAATGGCAGAAGGTCATACACTGAAAACTGAGCACAGAAATGCAACATAAACTAAACTGAGTATTTTGATAACAGAAATTTAGGGAAGTTACTATTCTGGTGAAATAGCGTCACTTGCACTTTTGTTTGATTTGGAGGGGTTTTTTGTACTTCTGGTTTTGATGACAACTCTTCTATTGGGAAAATTCTTTGATTAAAAAACAAACAAACAAGCAAACAAACAAACAAAACCTGAAAACAAATCACAAAAAGCCTCACACCAAATCAAACTTCAACAATGCTTTTTTCTGACAGGCTCTCTGGGTCCATAAATATGCTTAGTCTTTCTGTCCTATATCCTGGTTTGGTCCTGTTACATCTCAGAGACTGATTGTGCCTCTGTTGGACCAACAGGCAATAAAAAGAAATATCAAAAAGATAAAGGTGAAATTTCCCTGACTGCTTGAGATAACAAAGTCAAGACATTTACACCTAAGTTATTTGACCATAAAGATGTCTAGACAATGGAGAGACAAAATAATTTCCAGGGCATGATCCCCTCCATCTAAAGGAGGCATCCAAATCATATTAGAATTTGATCAGGACAGGTCTCTATCATGGACTTCCTCAAATGTCAAAAGTCAACTCAAGCCACATTGTTTTCCTAATAGCTCAAACTGTTTCCCGTGTGATCAGTATGTAGCTGAGGTTTCTTGCATGCCACAGCATCCTGAAAATTATTGAAACATTTGTGCAAATATATTTCTTTTTAACTTGAAATGAGCCCTTTTGGGTGCAGGGAAGCATTGGTGGAGAAAAACTGGAAAAACTATGAAGCAGCAATTCAGAAACTATTTGCTTTCCTCACTTACTTCTCACAGCCAACTTCACTACTCTCACCTGTGTATTAGTCCATTCCATTTCAGGAAAAGGTCCCAGCTGAAGGCCTCTACCTGTGGGATTTTCTTCCTCTTGTCCTTTCTGGAAGTACATAGAGACATCTACTCAGGACACGTTCCAAACTCAGATTTCTCATTGTCTTTGCATATGGCGCTTAGTTGGGTGGGTTTGCTTCCCAGGTTGTTTTTTTGGGGCAGTGGGTTCATTTGTTCCCTTGAAGCCGTAAAATGGTGTTAATAACATGCTGAATTGCCCAGAGGCTTTATAACAAAAATAAATTGGCGTTATATTATATAGTATTAAAAATGTGAGTGTATATTATTGATTATTATCTATGAATTAGCTATTTATCACTGAAGGAAGAACAAGTAAGTTATGTATATTTTACAAGAATTAACACTGTACTAATGTGTTTAGGTTAATTTTTAGTATGCAATATTTACCAATCTCAATTAACTATTAGCAAACGAAGCAAGAAGGCTACAAGGAATAAACAAACATTCTCTTGACAGTCCACCTCTTTCTAGCTAAAATTGGAAATAACCCTGTTGCTTCTAAATTTTAAAACCCGCTCTAATTATCACTATGAATTTATGAAGTTTAACAGTAGGAGGTTATATATTTGCTTTTAATGAACGTCAGGTTTCCATTTTTTTGTGAAACAGAAAATCTGTAATGAATTCTGTCTCCCACATAGGCATGAGTCAATGCCATTGTAGAAAACACATGAGTTCTTAACAAACAACAACAATATGGAAGAGCCCAGCCAGTAAGGAGAGACATAAGGCAAGGATCTCAGTTTTTGTTGATAGCAAAACTACCGTATCTGTAGCTATGCATCCAATAGCATTTTTACACAATGTTTAATACACAGGGGACTGAAAAGCATTTTTACAAAGGCCATATTCATTATGATGCTTATGTAATTCTGATCTTCACCTTTTACTAGGTTACTTCAGACTTTTTGTTTCTATTTTAATAAAGAATACAAATTTTTAAAAGAATAAAAATCACAAATCAGTTTAGATGTGAAAAGAAATAAAAATCACATAGTTCCTACACCCCCTGCCATGGGCAGGGACACCTTCCATTAGACCAGGTTACTCCAAGGCCCATCCAACCTGGCCTTGAACACTTTCAGGGATGGGGCATTCACAGCTTCCCTGGGCAACCTGTTCCAATGCCTCACCACTCTCACAGTGAAGGATTTCTTCCTAATATCTAATCTACACCTGCCTTCTGACAGTTTGAAGCCATTCCCCCTCACCCTGTCACTACATGCACTTGTAAAATGTCCTTCTCCAGCCTACTTGTTGACCCCCTTTGGGTATAAACCCACAACTTTTTATGTATAAAACTCTCATCTGCAAGATTAAGTCTTTTTTAATATCAAGCATAAAACAGCAAGTAGAAAACCACTAGGCCAAGTCATTCAGGGAAGTCTCTAAACTCTGTTGCTATAAAGAATGACTAGTAACAGTCAAAAAGCTCAGGGTGTAACACTTTTCAGTATAAAGTCTAAGGAAAAGAGACTTCTGTCTCTGCTTAAAAAGATTAATGCTGTCATACAACAATATCTTTAAGAATTGAGGCTTATATTGATGCTGTCAGTCTGCAGACATTTAGCTGTGTCTGCTAGGAGCAGAGTCCTTTGAGACACGGGAAAATACTGAGAACAGTTGCAGACTAAAATTCCCGGAGTCACTCTGGAGGGTGCATTCCCACCTCAGTGAAGAGGGATGAATGGAAGTCTGAATATTCAGTTGAGTTTATACGGACAGGATTTTTACATTAAAAAAAATCTGGAGTTACTTCTTGTACAGTGTAATGGGCGGCTGTGGATTCCCTAACATCAGCGCCAAAGCCCACCAGGAGCAACCACAAGGCATTTTAAGGACAAGTCCACTGGAGCTGATGCACTTTCACCACAGCAAGTTTCTCTGTACATGTATGTGGTCCTGGAGACTTGTGAGAAGAAATGTGTAGGATCCTAAACACAGATAGAAGAAATGCGCACCGGGCATAAGACAGAGGAAACATCAAAATCAAAAATACAGACTAAGGAACACCTCTGTTGAGATATTAATTAAGGAGGAGCCTAGAGTGATGTTCTGCTGCAACACAGCTTTCAATCAAGATACAAAGAATTGTTGTATAAGGACAAGGGTTATAACTATTGTGCTGTAATAATTTATGATGAGAAACCAGCAGAACTGTATCACTTTGGGATATTTTGTTTTAAGATAAGCAATGAAAAAGCCAAAAAAAATCTACAGAAGAGGAATCTCACAACCTAGGGAAGACTGAAAACAGGATATTACATAGGGATAGTGATCAGTTGTTTCCAACTTAGAGAGAAACCAGGGAAATCACTCCAAATTTGCTGCTATGATAAAAACCTTTAACTGCTAGGGCGCTGAAACATGTCCTATAGGCTTTGGCTTCATGAGAGGTTTATTCCATAGTAATTCCAGCAACTTCAATTTGGAACCAGATGATTACTAACCAGCTAAAAGCAAAAGGCATATTCCTCTGTGCTAAGTTAAAATAAAATAAATACATGCTTGCTTCCAAGGTAAGATTTTACAATGGCACTAGTGGATGTAGTAGTTGTAGTAATGTAATCCTCTTCATAAAAAAGCATCTGTTGAATAAACTTTAATCAAATGCAAGTAAGGTAGCATTTAAAACAGCATTCTTCATAAGCATCAAAATGTGAGCTACAAATGTGGCAACAAATGAGACTGAGTTTCCCAAATAGAGCTGTCTCATGTCATCAGATGCATTAAGGTATCATTTTGTCTCCAGCTGCTTCTTCCAAAGGGAATGGGTTTCCTTCTGTCATTTCTGACAGCCATATGCACACCTCAGATCTTAAAGGACATCTAAAATAGCACTATATGCCTATCTTAGACAACTGAATCTCACCCCAAAAAGTCTTTCCTTTATTTTAAGGAAGTCTTTTCTAACAGAGATTGTTATTCACACAAGCTACAATTAAATGCAAATATATAGTTAAAAATATAAAATTTTGGGGGTTATTGTGTAGAAAATTGAAATCTTTTGCTCATTAACTAAAAATAAAAAAAATAATTTCAAGTTTCCCTAAATGTTATAAACTACTGCAAATCCAAAAATCCAAAATCCAATAAAATTTTACACAAGATCTAGAGCCAAACAAGTTTCAGTGCTGAAGTACACCAACTTTAGAAGGATTTAAATACTCTTATAGTCTGGAAAGCCTTGTTAATCTGTAGATTAAGGAAGGATCAGTTCATTGCCATGGAAAAAAATTGTGCCTATTAAATATCGGGAAGTCCCATGGTCCAGCAAATAATACCTTTATACAAGAACATCATGCAGTGTCATAATAAGTCAGCCACACCAATAAAACTGAGGAAAATAAAGTTTTCCATTTAAAAAAGGCTCCAAAAAGAGAGGTCATGAAAATCTACACAGTTCCTTCTAATCATGTGTTTTGGGCATTGAAGTACTGCTATGCAAAGTAACAGTAATAAAAATGAACATAGGGAGATGAGATGTGCAAAGAAAATGGTGAGAGTATTTCTAAATTAAGCCAGGAAAAATTGTTGCATTCACAGGAGCTTCAATATACTGAAGGGTATCTGTGATCACGGTGCTAAATTCAAGTCTGCTCCTCATGCCAGTGATGTAACTACTATAGATGAATTCCACAGAATTGAGCATGAGGGGATGAACTTCCATGGTGAATAATTGCTTTTAAACTAAAAATTTCATTTATGTAAGATAATGATAGAAAGACAAGTTTCAATTAAAAGCTCGAAAGTATATAGAAGGCTACCATTTTCTTTTAAAATTTGAGTCATTCTTTTTATCAATTTACAACAGGATAATGAACAGCTGATAGCATACTGGAGACAAGTCCAAAAATACTTTTAAAACAGGCTTGTGAATGAAATGAAAATTCAGGAGCAGCAGATGGGTTTAACTGCTGTTAAATGTGGAGTGGTTTCCAAGAACATGTTGTATGTAATAATAAATAGCCAGAGACAAAGTTTCCCCAGCAGTTTAAATCCCAAGCATACAAGCTAAGTGAGGGCTTTCAAGCTTTGGCTCACTGCAACATCCTTACATTTTACCCTTGTCTACAACAGCAAAAATGCTTGTTATTAACAATGTGTGCCATCAATGAGTGCAATTATAGCAGTACTGAGCACAGTTTCACTGAGCACAGGCAGGCAGGTTTAACACGGGCTCTCTGAAACAAGAATAGTTTTTGGCTCTGCTTGCAGGTTAATCACATTCAGCACCAGGGTATCCATTCTCACAGTGGGTAATTATGCCAGTGTACCCAGTGCCTCAATTTGTGCATACGTTTTACATAATAAACATGCTAGAAATTGCCTCCTATTCCAATTCTTGATCTGGATGGGGCACTGGGATGACGTACTGCATCTAGGGCTTCTTCAGTTATGCTCTGACTGCCTCCATGTCTCATGCCCTCTTGGATTTAAGCAACAGTGAAATCCCAAATGCCCAGGAAAACAGGCAGTAACTTTTTTTTTGTACCTAAACCAGTTCTGGCTTCATCTCCTAATCCATCAAAAAGTGGCTTTATTAAGTGACAGCTATGATTAAGTTAAAGCTTCTAAAATTGCTACCATGTATTATTATACTTGACTGACACAAATACTTGTGACACAGAATGAAACTGGAACTTTTAAACTCACAGTGATGCACAGAGGCACAGACAGAGAAGGGTTCAAAAGAATGAGTTCAACTGGCAGATAGTAGAAATTACATCAGGTTCAAACCCAGAAACCACTGCCTCTCCTGTTAATCCAATTGCTTCTGTAACAACAAAATATTTGTGAGGAACTGTGGGAAAGAGCATCACTGGATTCAAAGAAACCTCTGAAGTTCAGAGCAATCCTACACTATAATATATGTGTGTTCCTGCTTAGATGCTCCAAGGATGCTTCTGGTTAGCTACTCTGTAATACCAGTATCTGCTTGATGATGAACTTGGATGGACTTGGATGATGGTCTTGGATGAACTGGAGGGAAAGGATTATTTGGGGAACAAATGATAGAAAAGG